CCCCTCTGGGAATTTTAAGAAGAATGTAAGTAAGAGCCATGGCTGCTAACAGAAACCCTGCCTCAGCCTTATTTACTCTTCAGTTTGTTAAAGTGAAAAATCCTAGCCAGTGTCTACAATACCTGAATATCGCCATCATAAATAACAATCTGGTCCAACAAGAGTCAATGATTGTATGACCAAGACCTTGTTCACTTACAGAATTCTTTCTGTCCCCACTGCTTCTCTGTGTGTGTTCATATAAGGCCCCCATATCTCTTGTGACATGTTATCTTTCATAGGTGTGGACTCCGAAGCTTAGGGTTTAGCTGCTGTGTTATAGACACTGCCCCTGATAGTGCATGGCCATTTGTTCTGAGGCCTCACCCCTCATGGACCATCAGCCCTCCCCCTGCCCCATCATCCCTGTGTTCTGCTGTCAGTCATAAGCCGTGCTCTTTAGAGCTGCCCTCAGTTAAATGTTTGTTTCATCTTAAAAAGAGAACTGAAACTTACAGAACAATCTAAGAGTACAGATGGCTTGGATGAAAATTTTGACATTACCAACAGCTTGGCAAAAGCCACACTATAAAAAGTCACACCTTGCGTTAAAATGCAGACATCTGTGAAGTGTACATTCTTTGGGGGAAGCTGTAATAAAACACCGTAGAAGATGAGGGCAGCTAGGCTCTCTTGCTTTTGCAGCCACGTTGCGCTAAAGTTTTTTGAATACTAAAGGTGTCTGATCACTTTCCTACATGATGGTGTTCCAATTCCATGCCCTAGCCACACAGTATCCTCTGCTCCTCAGGCCCCAACTGATGGCACAATCTGTAAAAGGAAGGCGAAAAGACTCAAGGCCTCCTCCCTAGTCTAAATGACCTTTGAGGAACAGACCCTTAACTGGCCTTGACAGCACACCAACAATCAAATATTTATTTTGAGCTCTCAGTATGCTCTTAAACACCTAACAGGAATTGTAACCATGTAGGGGTCATAAGACATGGTAGCCAGAAGTAAATTTTCTGAACCTTCTCATGTCACAAAAGAAACAGCCGGCTGATGAAAAAGCACATGGGTGTGTGGAGGTGGGTGTCAGAGAGGATCAGGAGGATCAGGAGGGCGTTCCCAGACAACGCTCCTGGGAAGGCCACAAAAGTTACCACAGCAAGCAGAAAAGGATGCTTGACTGAAGAATTCCACCAGAGAAAAAATGACAGTCCAGCACAGTGGTTCATCCAGGTGGTGATGTCCATGGGTGTCTCCTAGGCAACCAAGAAGCGTTGGGGTCAGTGTCATGTGACCATAGGAGTGAATGCTGAGAGTTATGTGACTCAACCTGACTGTATGAACCCAAAAAGATCTCTGGATCTGGAGAGTTGAGGTTTATAATTTATCTGTAATTTAAGAATATTTAAACACAGAATCCCTATCTGTGATTAGAACCATCATACCTCCTCATGGAACTGTTGTTGGTATAATGCTCTTGTGGAATGTAAACAATTTATCCTTGCTCATTCAAATGCTGATTTCTCTACCCCACTATCTGGTTTCAATCTGGACATTGCATTGTGATGTTTATTCTAAGCATCGCCTGTCTCAAGTTTGTGTAAACATGTCACCATTTGTTCTCTGTATTGTCAATAAAACAACCAGCCACAATGCTGAGCAATGGAGAGAATAGAGTGGGACATCCTGGTCCAGAGGGGAGGAGAAGGAAGCGAGTGGGTGAGTAGGAGAGCAGAGATCAGGAGGACAGGACTTGGAACCATGAAGAGAGATGAACCGGACCTGAGATAGGACTAAAAATAAGTATAATGTTGGAAATTCTGAATGGGAGGAAGCTATGTGGGCTTGGAGGTTTAGGATGGAGTAACTATTGTCCAGCATTGTGCTCTAGGTTAACTAAATAAATCCTAGTCTCTGTGTGGTAATTTGGGTTATAGCTGATTTAGGAATAACCACTGATTAACTTCAGATAAATCAATAATAAATACTAATAACTCACAACAAACTGTCACATTTCTGGGGCATGAAATATCCAGGTCACATAAGAATGTCCTTTATCCAGAAGGACCAGAGTCTGTGGGATCTCTTCCTAGACTATCATAAACCACTGCTCACAAAGGGAAATTAAACTTATTTTGAGGATTTTTTTTTTTTTACCTGAGGTATGAACTGAGTCTAAACCTCTGTGGATTAAGAATTGAATGTTTGTTTTTAAGACCCCAGAGCTACATTCCATATAATGTTTACACAGAATCAAATAAAATGTAGCAAAACTCATCTCAGACACGTGAAGCCTTTTCACCCTAAGGATCATGTGGCACTGAGAGGTCTGTGCTCTGTGGAGCAGACTCATCTCACAAACAGCACCCAGTGACCAGGAAGGACATGGGGAGAGTACACCACTCACTGGACAGACCCAGCTGTGGGGCCAGCCACCACTCAGGCATCCAGTCCTCTGTGTAATCTACAGAGGAAGGGCTTTTCACTTTTGGCCAAAATTAAATGAAATAATGGGTACTCTCAGAATACTGACAGAAGGTCAATGACTACCCACACATTAGAGACTTCATGAGCACAGGTTTCTAAGGAACTCTCATATGGACGAGCATTAACGCCATCGGATTGTGAGATGAGTTACTGTGGTTCTCAGTGTGAATGCTTTATTTTTTCTTTTTTACACATTTATAAATTATGTTTTCAACAGATATCGGAGGATCTCACTTATCTGGGAATCTTAGTGTTGACTCTTGATTTGTGTGTTTAAATTGGAGAGTCTGCCGAATATAGGAAACTGGGAAGTGCTGATTTGTGGCAAGGAAGAGTCTCAAGGTCTCAAGGGACAGTGGACAGTAGAATATAGTGGCACAAAGGACAAAACAACAACTGGGAAGGAGTTTAAAGTATGGAGAGGATGAGAGGGAGGTCAGAGAAGGGAACAAATACCACTAAGGACGTTTGAAAAGGCCATATAGGAACCTGCTCTTCTGCCACATGAATTTATATGGCTGTAACCCTCTACTCAGGAGCCATAACTCCCAGAAGGATGGACTGTCAATTAGCCCATTGCACAATGTGATATATCTTCTTGAGCTGTTTGTCGGAGATGTCCTGCAGACTCCCAAAGGACATTAATGCTTGGATCATGAGAACAGGACAGTTCTCCTAGGAAGCAAGTCAAAATGATAGCATGTTGTTGTCTTATTTCATTTACAAGATGGTTTATATTTATTTTCCCAAACTGCATTCTAGTGTAAAATCAACACATGGGAACAAATGAAAATTTATAAGCTTTATCAAAGCTTATAAATAACACTTATGAAAACTTGGAAACTGAAGAACAATAGTTCTTAAAATTAGAACTAGCCACTCCATGTATAATTACTATGTGGCCAGACTTCCCAAGAGAAAGCAAAGTTACGAGAAAGTTAATTATTTCAAATAATTTTAAAAAAATTTTTAATTATTTGAAAAATAATTATTTCAATTATTTGAAATTATTTTAAGTATGAACATTTTATATCTGTGTCAAGATTCTAAAAAACAACCCAAACAAACAGAAGGGCAAAGAGGAAACAAACAGGTAGGTAGTCAGTCTGGTTAAAAGGTGATTCTAGTTGCACTCAATTGTACTCAACCAGTTTCTCTCATTTGCTACGTTTGCTTTCTTAGGCCTCACTGTGTTTTTGTTAACTTCAGGTATGACATTCCTGTAACATGTCAGATGTAAATGCTATGTCAGATACCGAGAGTGGGAAAAAATGAAACCCACATCAGAATGGCTGCACTAGCTACTTCTCTTGAAGACTGCTGTCCTTCTTATCCAGACTTCTAGGAATGAGCTTCCTCAGCACAGGTCAGAAACAGCAGTTGGCCTCTTCAAGCACAGAATGTGACAGCTGGTCAGCAGGGGACACTGCACTGAAGCTTTCAGAGGACAAAGCCACACACAGGTTAAAATTAGGCAACTAGCCAACTGGTAGGCCTCCTGTGAACATGGAGCATAAGAACATTACAGATTCAAAGTTAATTTACCCCACCTGTCTATAGTGCCTTAGGAAATATTCATCGCTGGCTTTGGTTTCTGAGCCAGCATCCTCATGACCACCAGGTGAAACATTTCAGAGTGTATTGGCTTATCAGATTGCCAGCTTCTCCCAAACTAAAAGCTTTCCCTGTCACCAGACAGCATGTGAAAATCATGGCAGAGATTTTGTCACTTTCCTATAATCTCAATCCTGATGTCCCCACAAGTAGAATGGAAAAATGTCTTGAGTCATGACTTATGATTTTGTTGCGCTTTATAACTTCCCATGTGGCTTTGGAACGTGTATTTTGGGAACCTGAGTCAATGGTTCTGGGTCATGGTCATTCACTTTCAACTCAAGAATAAGCTATATCTCATTCCGTTTGAAGTGAGAGCTATGTTTGGTTTTGAGGGACAGATTTATACGCAAATACAGCCTCACTGATAATTTGAAACCCTTGGAACCACTTGAACCATGCAGGTTTACATCTCTTTTAACCATTTATTTTACTGTATCATAATACAGGAGCTGGAGGAAGAAAACTGTATCTTGCTCTTTACTTGTATCTAATTTCATGTTTACATAAATAATCAAGAAGCAGCACAGCAAAAGTTGTATATGCGATTTATATCAATTCACCTTTTTAAATATTCTTAATCACTTTCCTTCCAACTCACTCTGTTATCAGTTGAATACCTCATGATCACTTATTGCTTAATATGAGATATTATTTGAATGGTAAGACTACAGTAACACAAAATTAAATAGCCATTATCAACTTGATAGAAGGTAACATTCAGACAATGCAAATAGAGATTTTGAATGGATGAGAAGTATCACAATGAATAAATTTTTAGAGTAGAGAAATAATTCATCAAAGAGGGATGAATATCAAATGAGACATGATTGATGAGGAATAATATCAGCATAAGACTTAGAAAAACAGATGTACAGAGTCAAGAAACAAAACTATGCATTCCATATTATTTACTTAGTTGTTTCTTGAAAGATGGGTCTCATGCCCAACAATTTCTTCATAGCTTCTGTGACATTCTTGTTCCTAAAACTATAGATTAGTGGGTTCAACAGAGGGGTAAGTATTGTGTAAAACACAGACATAACCATGTCCTTCTCAGGGGTATGTAAAGAAGCAGGGAGCATGTAGGTGTAGACAGCAGCGCCATAGAAGAGGATGACCACAGCCATGTGGGAGGAGCAGGTAGCAAGGGCCTTCCTCCTGCCCTCTGCTGAGTTCATCCTGACAACAGTGAGGAGGATGGACAAATAGGAGCTGGAAATGACTGTCACAGGGATGAGAAGCATGAGCACACAGCACAGGTACATGAGAGTCTCATAGAGCCGGGTATCTGAGCAGGAGAGCTTTGTCACAGCAGGGACCTCACAGAAGAAGTGGTGGATCTTCCTGGATCTACAGAATGGAAACGTCATGGTGACAGGAGTGAGCATGAATCCATCCAAGCTTCCCAGGAGCCAACAGACAGACATCAGGAGGAGACACACTCTGTGGTTCATGAGGACAGGATAACGGAGTGGGTGGCAGATGGCCACATAGCGGTCATAAGACATGGCAGCCAGAAGGAAAAATTCGGAACCTACAAGGGTCAGGTAGAGAAACATCTGCATCCCACAGGCAGCAGCTGAGATCCTGTGGCTCCCCAGGGCCTGGTCCATGAGCATCTTGGGCACAGTGACAGAAATGTACATCATGTCCATGAGGGACAGCTGGCTGATGAAAAAGTACATGGGTGTGTGGAGGTGGGTGTCAGAGAGGATGAGGAGGATCAGGAGGGCGTTCCCAGAGAAGGCCAGCAGGAAAACCACAAAAATGACCACAGCAAGCAAGACAGGGTGTTTGGATTGATTGAAGAGTCCCAGCAGGGTGAAATCTGACTGTCCAGTGTAGTTGCTCATCCAGATGGTGATGTCCATGGATGTCTCCTAGGCAATCAAGAAGCTTTGGGGTTAATGATTATCTACTGATATGTGCACAGGCCTACTGTCCTCTGAAAATTCTCATCCTGAAGACGTGAGGGTGGCTATCTACTTATTATTTAAGAAATTTTAAAAGTAAGAATACACATCTGTAGTTGGAGACATCGGAACATCAAATAGCTGTACCCCATTCATGGTTGTGATCTTTCCTGATGACAAATAGTGTCCTCTATCAACAAGTTTTTCAAAGGTGCACAATGATTTTTTCTTTTTTGCTACTAACAGAAATAGCCAATTACCAACCCAAACAAACCGACAAAAACCAATGAAAGTGAAATGCAAACAAAGAAGCACATTGTTCAGAAAATTAATGAATACACAAGTTATTCTTTAGAACCATTGTAGAGTGGGTGGTAATAGAAATGGGATTTGGTACCAAGTACGGGGAGAGCAGAGGTGAGGTAGCGGGGAGGACAGGGAGAAAGACTAGAAATTAGTGTGGAGACATTTCTGGGACAGGGGAGGCTCCTGGGAGTCTGTAGTGGTGATGCTAGCTGAGACTCTTAGCAGCAGGAGGTATGGAGCTTGGAGTTGCCGCCACCTGTATCCATGGGGGACTCCTGGTAGAGAGGGGTCCACCCCACCCATAAAACCTTTGACCCAAAATTTATCCCTACAAGAAGTGTAGGGATAAAGATGGAGCACAGATTGAGGGAATGGCAATGACTGGCCCAACTTGAGACCCACCCCATGGGAGAGAGCCAACCCTTAACACTATTAATGATACTCTGCTATGCTTGCAGACAGGGGCCTAGCAAAGCTGACTCCAAAGAAGCTTCATCTAGCAGCTGATAGAAACAAATGCAGAGACGCACAGCCAGACAATAGGCCAAGCTCAGGGAGTTTTGTGGAAGAGTGGGAGGAAGAATTGAGTAAGACAGAGGGGTCAAGGTCTGAAACAGAAGACCTACAGAGTAAACTAACCTGGACCCATGGGGGCTAGCAGAGACTGAACCACCAACCAAGAGCAGGCACGGGCTGGACTTAGGCCTTTTACATATATACAGCCGAGGTGCAGCTTGGTCATCATGTGGATTCCCTAACAATGGAAATAGAGCCTCTCCCTCTCTGACTCTGTTGCCCGCCTTTGGATCTCTTTCCCCTCAGTGGGCTGCCTTGTTTGGCCTCAGTGGGAGAGGATGCACTGAGCCCTGTTTCCACCTGTTGTGCCAATGTGGCTTGGTATCCATGGGGGCTCCACTTCTCTGAGTAGAAGGAGAGGGTAGAAGGAAGGAGGGAGGCATAAGTGCAGGACTAGAGGAGAGGAGGGAGGTGGCTACAACCAGGCCATAAAGGGATTACATAAATAATGAATAAATAAATGACAAAAACCCAGAAACCTTGTAGAGCTGCTTCTAATATTCACACATTATGAATGCACTCTGCAGTTCAGCCTTCACTGAAGAATGTGGTTTTAAAACTGATATGATGGTAAAAGATCTTAGCTGAGTAATGTATACAGTCCATTGAATTTGAAGTGTCCTATATATGTTTGTTTTGATAGTTAAGGGCTATTTAAATATATAATTATATAAACATATAGGTATAGGTATAAAATACTTATAACATGTTTGCTCATCTCGCTGGTTAGACAGTTAGTGCAAATCTCACCTTTTCTGGTCGCTCCTCTCCAAGTTTCTCTCCTCACAATGTCCGCTATTTTTTGTGAGAGTCTGTAGGAGGGGGATTCAGCGGTCACTGCTGACTGCCAGGCCTGGCTGTGGCAGCAACATCTCTGTGAACTGTAAACTACCTCTTCTTGGAGCCGGAGAAGCAGAGAGTCCCGAGATGTTTCTGATAGAACGTTATCATTCCCTCCACTCCACGCACGCAGCCTCCTTCTGTGTTAGATGCTGAAAGAAATCCAGGGACACGCTTACCTACACTGTATTAAACAAGGTTAGTGTACATCCAAGAGGCTCGGTGAATGCCTTTTTTAACATACTTTTAAAGGGAGGAGATGTGTAAAGTCTCTTTATTCTGAACTAGTAGATCCTACATTTTGATAACCCTAAGCCACAGGAAGGAAATAAAACGTCCTCTTTCTGAGATGTTAGTACAGCAAGCACAAAATGCAGGGACATTTCATGTCTATGTCAAGATTCTAAAAATAAAAACTCAAAAGCAAACCTCATACTGAAGTCCTTAAAATGCCATATTCTGCCCAAGTTGCTAATGGAGGAGAGGACAAGGTTCTTGATGCCTTCGTTAAAACACCAGACAAATCTGAGACCTATGGAAGGAGATGCGCAGAGATAAAGACAGGAAATAGACTGAAAAGATAGATTTTCAGTTCACAAAGGCATATTAGTGAAAAGAATCTTGGATCTATTCAAAGATTTAAACATTCCAAAGTTCATCTTTACCTGCTGACTCGGTTTGTATTATTGGACACAGTAGAGAGGAGCTGGGGACAGAGCCACTGTCTATGAGAAGCCCTGAGCACTGTCTGCTGGGTGAGAGGAGGTCAGGAGGCAGGTGAGGGGCAGGAGGTGTTCTGGGAAGTCAGTGCTCTCTGTTAAGTGGGGGCCACTGGCATCATGGTACCCAGGCAGCGGGAGATCAGGAACGTGGTGTCTGCACAAGGCATGGAACCAGCACCCTGATTGCCCTTACCCATTCTGTGCTACTTGATTTCATGTGAGTAGCTTGGTGCATTGTTTAACACTTTGTATTACTAACAGTAAAGGTAGGAAAAAAGAGAGCATCATCTCAAGCCAGCAGCATCCCCGAGCCACCCTGCTGCTTCTATAGGAGTCACCATGTTTTCTTCTTTTACAGTGAGAAGCTCAGGGTCTCAGGGCACCTGCCTCCCACCACACAATAGCTGACAGTGTGAGTGATTAACCTATGAGTAGGCACAGAGTGGTACCTGCCTGGGCACTATGGAAACACCACTTCCCCAGGAATGTGTAGTTTGGGTTTAGATTGCCCACTCTCTGCTTCTTATGATGAGACACAAAAAGATTAAGATAGGTATTCTTGCATTATTATAACCCTCAAAAATTGTCCACATTTTAAGTTAAACCACTAAAGTGACAGTTTTTGAAAACTAATGCATTGTCATATGAAAACTTAAAAATACAGAAGGAAGGGGGAATAGGTGTTGGATGCCTACCACAGTCCTGGCACTATGAATCTGAGGCAGGGGGATCAGGAATAAAATCAAGGCAAGTCCATGGTGTGTGTGTGTGTGTGTGTGTGTGTGTGTGTGTGTGTGTGTGTGTGTAAGACAGGTAGTAGAGAGACCTTGTTTCCCAAACCCCAAAAATAAGTAGATTAAAGTTGAAACACATACTGTTTCATTCATCAGTTAGAAAAAATTATCAATAAGCAATTATTAAAGGGAAGCTTTAGGGAGAAGCCAGGTGTGGTGGCACCTGCTATTACTTCTAGGACTCAGGAAGCAGAGGCAGGTGGATCTTGGTTGTACAAAGTGAGTTCCAGGACAGCCTGACTCAAAACCAAATCCAAACCAAAGCAAAACAAAACCAAACAAACAAAAAACAGAAAGAAGGCAGAATTTCCTTTCTTCACATTAAAAAAAAAGATAATAAAGGATACAACAAACCTCACAAATAATGGACAGACGGTCCTCTGACCACCCTGTGCTGAGTGGACTCTTCTGTCAGGTTCTACTCACCATCAGATGCAGATGCAGCCTGAGCCACACTGGTGAAGGGACTGGTTAAGTGCACAAGGAACAGGAGGCTATTGACGTCATCCGCGGCAGGACTCTGCTCATTCTTGGATAAAGTATTGGTCAATAGCTCCCCTCTGGGACTTTAAGGAAGGATGTTTAACAGAGAGAGCCAGGGATGCTAACAGAAAGCCTTGCCGCAGCCTGATTTACTCTTCCGTTTGTTAAAGTGAAAAATCCTAGCCAGTGTCAACAATCCCTGAATATAAAAATCAGGTCCAACATGAGTCAGTTATTGTGCGTTCAAGACCTTGTTCGCTGTACAGAATTCTCTCCCTCTCCACCATCTACCTCTGTGTGTGTGTTTAGATAAACTTCCAGTAGCTTGGTGACATGCTATTTTTCATAGGTGTGGACTCGGAAGCGTGGGTTCAGCTGCTATGTCATAGACCCTGCCCCCTGCTAGTATGCGGCAGAGTGAGCCTGAGGCCCTGTCCCTCATGTGCATCTCCCCTTGCCCTGTCAGTCATAAGCTGTTCTTTAGAGCTGCCTTCAGTTAAATGTTTCATTGTAAATAGGGATATCCAAATTACAGAACAGTCTACAAGTACAAATGGCTTCAATGAAAATGTAAATATTTGTTACCAGCAGCTAGGGAAAAGTCTCACTATAAGAAGCCACACCTTGATTTAAACCGCAGACACCTGTAGAGTGTGTAGCCAACTCCACACTCTTGTTCTTGCTTCCAGATTGCTCTGAACTTTTTGAATGCTAAAGGTGTCTGATCACTTTCCCACATGGTGGTGTTCCCATTCCATCCTCTGGCCACACAGTGTCCTCTGCTCCTCAGGCCACACTCCTGAGCTCAGCCCTCTCAGGCTCCCAGGTTTTAGCCTGCAGATGGAGCAGTGTCTTGACTCCTTCTGCACTTGGTTTGAGGGCAGCCCCGGATGGATATTGGCAGGGAGGGGAAGTGGGGTCTTTTCCTGTTGCTGTTGGTCTGGGGCAGCTGTATCAACTGTAGGTGACAGAGGCTCTGTGGGACTCCAGGCTGTGTCCAGCACCTAAGACAGGTGACTTGGCACTGTTATCACCCAACTGTGTCAGGTGCTGTATGGTGTCAGGAAAGTAGGTTCAGAGGATCCAGCACGGAATGCACAGCAAGGGGCACATGCAGCTGCCAAAGGGACAGCATTCCATCCACTGTCTTCAGCCTGCCCTACAGATCGTCGCTCCTGTGTGACCAATGTCCTGCATGAGCTTCTCCAGCTAAAGGGCATTGTAGAGTCCTAGAAAC